GGCAGGTTGGAGACCAGTCTGTAGTTCGCCAATTCGGCCGGGTCCAAAGATGGCTTTTTCAAGAGAGGGCGAGCCACTGCCTCCTTGAGAGCCCCAGGGAACCGTCCCTCTACAAGGGACTTGTTGACAATCTCCCGTAGGGTTCCTCGAAACCCCACGTGGCCGGCTCTAATTAGCCACGAAAGGCACGGATCAAGGGAGCAAGTGGTAGAGCACACAGCTAGAATCACCTTGTCAACTTCCTCTAGGCTGAGCAGGCTGAAATGATACATAACCCGACTAGAAGACGTGCATGGAACCTCAATTTCACTCACTGTATCAACTGTGGCAGGGAGGTCATGGCGGAACAACAAGACTTTGAGGAATTTCAGACAGACGATATAATCCGGAAGAGGAATGGTTCCCAAACGGTTTCTGGTCTGTCATTTCAGACAGAACCATTGTAGAACCGGTTCCCTACCGGAATATATTTGTAATTTCAGACACAAATGCTTCTGTCCCGTTTAGGAAATGGAGTTGAAGCGTTTTACCTGTCAACTGCTTCCAAGTAGTCTTCAGTTTCCTCTCCTGGTTCCGATGCGCTTTTTCACGCCGTTTTTCACCCGCGTGGGCGATCTCCGACTTTTTTTTTGAATGTTTGCTTTATAGCGTTATAGCATTATAGCGTTATAGCTATAACGCTATAATGGAACAGCAGTTTATCAATGCCATTGGAATGCCTGGAGTGTTTTGTTATAGTGCTATAGCACTATAGTGCTATAAAGCGAATGTTCAAAAAAAATAAATAAATCCGGAGATCGCCTGCGCAAGCGAAAAACAGCGGGCAAAAAGTGGGGAAAAGCAGTGCAGTCTGAAATGGCAAACCACTTCAGATCCAGCTCTTTACTGGAAGGGGAACGCCATGTGTGAAATGGCAGCCCTGTATTGGTTTACTCCATGACGAATCAAAAACGGCTTCAAAATGGGTTAAAAAGGTTAATGTGAAATTCCTCTATGTCTGCAAAATAGCTCACAAAAGCCTCACAGCCAATCTCCAATTCCCTAGCGTTTGGTTTGCCGTTCGGCAAAGTAGTAATCTTAGCAGCTTTGATTGCCATCTCATAGGATCTCATAAACGTCCTATAAGATGTTCCTGTGGTTTGCCGTGAGTATGCCGCCACTGTCTCTCTAGCCGTCTTAGCCTCCGCTTCATCAGCCGCAACTCCTAGGTATACCATGGAGCGAGCCTAGAGCGAGGGCGCCGGGGAGCGATCTTGTCAATGCCTGTCGAGAGTCGGCTATGCCAGTCCTCTACCAGCTCATCTAACAAGCCACCGGGAGCACTGGATCCCGAAAGGCCATCTGAAGTTGCATAGGGTCCATTTGACTCCTTGAGCGAGCTAAAATAGGCTCACTGCCCAAACAGGGTTGGGATGGTACATTCAGACAGGCCTTCATGGCAAAGTGGTCAGACCATGGTACTGCTGAAGCAGTAATCCGGTCCACTGTAACCTCCGCCGCAAAGATCAAATCAAGTGTGGGCCCGGCCCTGTGGGTGGGAGTTGTTATAAGCTGAGAGTAGTATTTATTAGTAGTATTTATTTATTCAACTTGTATCCCACTCCTTTCCTTGCCAAGCAGGGCTCAGGGTGGCTTCCAGCAGTTAAATGTACAGTAAAATCAACATTTAACAATGCTAAAATCCAAATATTGCAAGTTAAAAGCCTAAAAGTCAAAGGCCTGAATGAAAAAAAACATGAGTATTTGGAACTTTCTTGAAGGTGCCAAAGTCCTGCCTTTGCTGAGCCATGCAGGAAATTGTTTTTGTAAGACTAGGAGCTGCCACCAAAAGAACTTGTTCACACCATCTTATGCTAGGCCCACTAATCTGTAGTTCAGGTAGGATTTATGAAGTCCTGCACATGGACTGGATCAGTTCCTACGTGGCAAAGCCATGGGTGCATTCACTGAACTGATGTGCCAAATTGGACCCATTCGGTTGTACTCTGCTTTCCAAGAAAGTGTTACTACTGTTTTGCTTCTGTTGGAGCTCTGGTGCTTTTTTAAATATAACTTGTCAAAAATTCAGCAAGGAAAGGTTATACTGCTATATCCACAGCTAGAAAAAAGCTTGCCAGTCTCCTGGTGACAAAGCATAATTTGTGCACCAAGAATGTGGCGATTTGGAGACTGTGAAATAATAATTCAGAAGATAACATTTTTCTGCTTATGTGGAGAAAGCCTATTTTAATAGCTGGCTCCTTTACGTATGGGAAGCGAATGCTTTTATGGTCAGTGAAAACTTTATTTCAGACCCTTCCCCAGATTTTGAAAGCTAGCCACTTGTTTATACTAGGATTTCCATAGGTGGGCCCATACTGCAATGGTTCTGGAACTAATTTAATTGGTTGTATTCTCTCCCCTCCTCCATTTCTACAGCTGATGGCATCTTCTGCTTGAACTGTACCAGTAGTCAAGGTTATAACTGTAGCACAACCCATCAACAATGCACCTCTGCGGTCAACAGCTGTATTACCATTGCCCGGAATGAGGACACAGGTAAACTATATTCTCTGAGCCTTTCTGTTCTACCAAGATTTTGAGAGCTAGTATGGCTCAAGTGGTTAAGACGCTCAACTGCAGGCTGTGGAAGGTTGGTAGGTCAGCAGTTCGAGACCCAAGTGTGCCGCATGACGGAGTGAGCTCCCGTCTCTAGTTCCAGCTCCTGCCAACCTAACAGTTCGAAAGCAAGAAATTGCAAGTAGATAAATAGGTACCGCTTTGGTGGGAAGGGAACAGCGTTCCGTGCGCCTTAGTGTTTAGTCATGCCGGCCACATGACCACGGAAACATCTTCGGACAACGCTGGCTCTTCGGCTTTGAAACGGAGATGAGCACCGCAACCCTAGAGTCGGATTCGACTGGCTTTCAAGCAAGGGAACCTTTACCTTTTTATGGCTAATGGTAGCATTTCCTATTGTAGGCTAATGGTAGCATTTGCTATAGTAGGCTAATGGTGGGCTCCTCTGTTCCTAAGTCTTGATTGCTTGAATGTATTCTTGTTTTATTGATTTATTATTGGGTGAATTGCTTAGGGTTTCCTCGGTGAGCCAAAAGTTAGGTTTTGATTTTAAAACAGGCTTTAAATGGTAGGGAATACTTATTAGGAATTTAATAGTAGAAAAGAGCGAGTCCAGTATCACCTTAAAGACTAACAACATTTGTGGGGGGTATGAGCTCTCATGAGTCACTGACAGGGGTGTGCAAAAAAATTAGGTTTCCCCCCGATTCGGGTCTATAGGACCCCCAAAATATCGGTATTCCTGCATATTCCTGAATACCAGTATTGGCATTGTATTGGTATTTGGGTAAATATTCAGGGAACCTGAATTTATTCAGCTCCATTATACCCTCTGGGGACCATCCCCATAGGCTATAATAGAGAATTTCACTTGGCGAGTTGCGCCTCTGATGTAGGCTAGAAGGCATTTAAAGAGACTGCAGTCTCTTTAAATGCCTTCTGAGTTCACTTGCCAAGTCTTGCCGCTGCTGTGGCATGACTCAGCGAGTGAACTGATGGCATTTAAACTTCAAATGCCTTCTGAACTTGCCAAGTCATGCCGCCACGGCACAACTCAGCGAGTGAACTCAGAAGGCATTTAAAGAGACTGTAGTCTCTTTAAATGCCTTCTAGCCATGCCCGAATAAAAGCCAAATAATATCAGTTTTTATTTGGACATGGCTATTTTGGTAGCCGAATCAGATTGTCTAACCTGTATTTGGCTGAATAAATACCCGAAAAATACTGATAAGGTGTTTTTGGGGTATGTATTCTGCTCGGTATATACCGAGCACCCCTCCCCCCCAGTCACTGCTCACCGAGACTTGACTCTTGCTCTTTTCTACTGCAACAGACAGACTAACACGGCTACCCATCTTGCTCTAGGACTTCAGTAAGCACTGATAAGGTGGTAGTAAGGACACATGCTAGAAAGTCGCTTGCAGCCATGCTTGCCCATGGTCTGTCTGAGAACTCCCAGGAGCTATGAGGTCAGGGCCGGTGTCAGCATACTCCGGGGTGGGGCAGCTGCCAGGGCCCAGGGCTTCCAAAGGGGCCCACTGCTACTGCCCTTTCAGTATCATAGAGTCAGAAGGGACCTCCAGGGTCATCTAGTCCATATGGACAGGAAGTTGGGGAAGGACATATGGACATATGTTACTGAAGGACATATGGACAGGCAGTTGGAGAAGGGTGGGTGAAATGACAGGTGTGAAGCAGGGAGCATGGTGGTGGGGCAGATGAAGGGGGCCCAAGCAGCCTCTCTGCCCAGGACCCCACAAAACCTGGCTTTGTGTGAGGTCCCTGCCCTCCCTGGGTTATCCCAGGAGTTGTGAATGCTTTGCCTCCAGGAAATGCACATGTCTTCTGTACCTAAATGGTGTCCCCAGGAAAGGAGAATGTCCTTTTCTCCCCGTAGCTGCTGCAAGGTTCTGCCCCAACTCCAACAATGCCTGGTTGTAGAAGATGTACAGCAACTCTGTATACACAGGGGCGGATTAAGGCTCACTGGTGCCTTAAGCACTGACCAATCTTGATGCCCCCAATCTTGGTGTCATAGCCTATGACACTGCACCTCGCCAACAAAAAAATAGAAGATAACCCTAGGGTGCACCATGATCAAGGTGCACTAGTTTTATCAATTTTTTTTTAACAAATCTTCATTTGTTTTTCTTTTCTTTTCACCCTTTTCCCAACTTTGTGGTGCCCCCTTTGGCCCTGGTGTAGGCTTGCCAAGTCCCTCCCGGGGGGGGGCGGGGAAACCCCCACCACAGAGGCCCATTCCCCGCCGCCACCGGATCGGGCTCCGGGGGGAAATCCACCCCGACGTGCACGTCACCAGGAAGTGACGTGACGACGCCGGGCACGTTGGGGGCGGGGCCACAGTCATCCGAGGTAAAACTCTATGGTTTCCCCTCGGATGGTCGTGGCCCCGCCCCCAGTGTGCCCAGCGTCATCACGTCACTTCCTGGTGATGTGGATGCGGCGTGTGCGCGTGCTCCGGGATCGACCCGGGAGTCCCCCGCTCCGGAACAAGGTGAGACTTGGCAACCCTACCCTGGTGCCCTAAGCACGTGCTTAGTCTGCTTAATGGTTCATCTGCCCCTGCCTGTACACCATTGCTGGGACTTCAAAGCACTTCCCCTGTCCAGCTGCCACAGGATCCAGAGTGAGGAGGTGTTTCCTTCCCTATGTGCAAAAGGAAAATGCATGCCATGGGCCCTGATTCCTGACCTTTTCCATTCCTAGGGCACCTGGGCATACAAAACCCAACTTACGAAAAGAAGTGCAATACTGACGATCGTCTCTGCAACCAGGTCTATGGCTTGGTGGCTGGGGATTTCTCCCTGCGTTGGAACTCCAGCTGCTGCCGCTTGGACCGCTGCAACGACGAGGACATCAAAGGTAGGACTTTGTGCCAGGGGAGTCCGTTCTCACGCGAAGGCCGCATTAATCATGATACCAACCCAGGGCTGTAGCCAGGGTGGGGCCAGTAGATTACCTACCCGGAACACCACGTTGCTCCACCTAACATTTTTCTCCCCCCCAAACAGGTTCTTAAATGTTGCAGCATGACAAGTTCTTATCAAAAGAACGAGAACTTCTTTTGGGAACAGAAAATTTATGGTAGGGATGTTGGTGCCGCTCCAGAAATGCTTATAATAGACAATGAGGGATTGAGAGCCAGTTTGGTGTGAGAGCCAGTTTGGTGTAGTCGTTAAGTGCGCGGACTCTAACCTGGGAGAACCGGGTTTGATTCCCCACTCCTCCACTTGCACCTGGCTGGATGACCTTGGGCAAGCCGTGGTTCTGACAAGAGCTGTCCTCGAAAAAGAGCAGTTTCTGTCAAGAGCTCTCTCAGCCCCACCTACCTCACAGGGTGTCTGTTGTGGGGAGGGGAAGGGAAAGGAGTTTGTAAGCCGCTCTGAGACACCTTTGGGTAGTGAAGGGCGGGGTATAAATCCAATCTCTTCTTCTTCTTCTTCTTCTTCTTCTTCTTCTTCTTCTTCTTCTTCTTCTTCTTCTTCTTCTTCTTCTTCTTCTTCTTCTTCTTCTTCTTCTTCTTCTTGTCATCATCATCCATTTATTGAGGTATTAAACTGGCATAAAAAACGGAGTAAAATATGCCCGAAGCCATCTCCCACAGTCTTTAAAATTACAGATAAAAATATAATACTTGCAATACTCCCTCTAAGTTGTGGAGTCCTGTGAGCAAAAACTCTACGTTATGAGCTGCTGGCATTAAAGTTGTGAGTGAGCCATTTGGCTGCTGCATTAAGTAGTTTCCTCTGGAGCCCTCCTTCCTGAGCCGAGACAAAAATGTGTGAGCCGGAGGCTAAAAAATTGTGAGCTAGCTCACACTAACTCAGCTCGGAGGGAACACTGACTACTTGTACATAAGGGATTATAAATAATATTCCAATAATACATAAAAATATACTGTGTGAAAAGGTTCTTGACAAAAAGATAAAATAAAACAAATTAAATAAAGGAGTATTACCTCTTAAGACTTAAAATTTATAAAGCTATATATACTGAATTGACATGCCTCACTTTATGTTCCCTTACTTTCTTGGATGTTCTGTTGAGTTTTGCAGGCTGCTGTGCAGAATTTCGCATAAAGGGCAGAGTCACCTGCATATTTTCTGAGAGCCAGTTTGATGTACTGGTTAGGAGCGTGGACTCGAATCTGGGAGAACCGGGTTTGATTCCCCGCTCATCCACATGCAGCTGTTGGGTGACTTTGGGCAAGCCACAGTACTCTCAGAGCTGCTCTCTCATGAGCAGGGGTCATTTCCTGCAGGAGTGCACAGGAGCAGAGCTCTGGCAGTAAAGAGCCCAGGGGGCGGGCACATGCAAAAAGCCCCACCCCCTGCTCCCAGCAGCCCTCAGTTAGAGCAAGAAGCAGCCAGGCAAGTTGCAGAGCCTCCCCCCTCCCCGGCCCAAAACAGTCCAGTGGCACCTTTAAGACCAAGTTTTATTCAGGTACAAGCTCTCCCTCCTCTGTGAGGGCAGATCTGCACATTCCCCCCCACCCCCCAATAGCTAGCAACCCAAAACAGTCCAGTGGAGCCTGAGCGGTGGGTGTTGCCTTCTGACATACTTCCGGTGATGTCAGGGGGTGTGGCATATGCAAATAAGTTATGCTAATGAGTTATACTAATGAGCTCCTGCACCTCTTTTTCTACAAAATGACCCCTGCTCACGAGCACTTCTCTCAGAGGTCTCTCAGCAGCACCTACCTCACAGCATGTCTGTTGTGGGGAGAGGAAGGGAAGGATGTTTCGTGTAATAAAATAGTAGATATAGTCGCAGTAAATATTGGGCAAAATCTAGAAAGTCAAAGTCACAGGTTGAGCCAGGTATAATTGACATTCATTGGCTTTTTCAGTCCATATGAGTTATATTGGCTGGTTGGTAGAACTACAGCTTATTTATTTATTTCATTTGTACCCTGCCTTCCTCCCCAGTGCAGACCCAAAGTGGACTTTACATTGTTTTCCTTTCCTCTATTTTATCCTCACAACAACCTCATGAGGTAGGCTAGGCTGAGAGAGTGTGACTGGCCCAAGGTCACCCAGCAAGCTTCCAAGATACTAGTCTGGCACTCTAAATTATTACACCATACTGGCTCATACGCATGCTTCTCTCTTTGTGCAAGTCAGTCTTCTGCTCATAGTTGTTTGTGCATGTAAGTACTGATTCACATAGAAAATTGTGCGCACATTGGAGGAGAGTGGGAAACGAATTTTGCTGTGTATAAAACCTACACGCTAGGGGTTATGTGTGAACTGGACTCTAGGAAATGGAACGGTGCAAGAGTGAGATCCTCTTTGGGGTTTTTTTTGGTCCGTTTCTGTCTGCAGTACAAAAAGCATCTCCGGTTCTCAATGGCGTTCGTTGCAGCTCATGCTTTGCGCAAGGCACGGACGTGTGTCTGAACACCACCCAAGTGAACTGCACCGGGCAGCTGGACCAGTGCATCCATTTTGTTACCATCGCCAAGGAAGGTAATAAAGCAAAATAATGTAGAGGCAGATCTTGTCCACCTCTCTGTGGAAGCCCCACCCTCTGGCCCGCGAACATTCTGAAATAGGCCACACTCCCTAGCGCAGTATGACGATATGTCATGCCCAGAACATGTCAGGTTCCATTCACGGTGGCCTTGTGAAATACCTTTTCCTCCAAATGTTCTTCCTCTGTCTCGACTCATGGTCAAAACTAAACCCTCCTCCACCCTCCAAAACAGATCTGGAGTCAGCCTGCATCACTGCTATATCTCAAGCAATACACCAAAACAGCACTTGTCCTGCTTTGGACTGGAAATGTATAAAAAAGAAGAATGATAAGAACTGGCATTGAGAAAATAATCATCCCCCCTCCAGTTTGCTGATTTCAAAGGGCTTTTTAAAAAAATGGTTATGCCAATTCTGAAGAGAGGGAAGTGATGCAAAAGAGAACAGAGATCCTGTACTTTGGAAGGGGAAACTTCAACATGGCTTGGTCATGTGCTACATCCTTTTTCTACACGTGCCTTAAAGGTACAGCAGTCTTGTCCTCCTTTACGTCTGATCACTGTAAAACAGGGGTCCCCCGTGCGATACCCGTGGGCACCATGGCGCCACTGACACCTTTCCTGGTGACCAATGTTCCCTCTAAGCTGCAGAGCCTTGTGAGCAAAAAGGCTACTTTGTGAGCTACTGGCATTAAAGTTGTGAGCAGACGATTTGACTACTGCATACATTAGTTTGCTCTGGAGCCGTCCTTCCTGAGCTAAGACCAAAATCTGTGAGCTGGAGGCTAAAAACCTGTGAGCCAGCTCACACTAACTCAGCTTAGAGGGAACACTGCTGGTGACTGCCAAGTTTTTTTTAGAAAGTGGGTGGGGTCAGGTGGGGCTTTTGCACAGCAAGGCTTCTGATTGGCTGTTGGGAATTTGATTGGCTGTGCAGATTTTTTTTTAAAAAACATTGCTTTGGCAGTAGCTGCCACCCCAGCACCAAGGATCTCCACTGTGTGACTGAAGACAAGCGGCAGCAGCCATTTTGTGGCTGGCTCCACCTCTTGCAGCAACGGTTTTGTGGCAGCCGTTTTGTGGCTGCACCCGCCAGGGGTCATTTCCTGCGGGAGCACACAGGAGCGGAGCTCCGGCAGTAAGGAGCCCAGGGGGTGGGCACATGCAACAAGCCCCGCCCCCTGCTCCCAGCAGCCCTCAGTCGGGCCACGAGGAGCAAGAGGCAGCCAGGTAAGTTGCAGAGCCCCCCCATCCAACCTTCAGGTACAAGCTCTCCCTCCTCTGTGAGGGCAGATCTCCCTGGTTAGGGGTGTTTTCTCCCCGGCGTTTGATCGCGCCGGGGAGAAAAGGCGGCGCGGCCGGGGGATCCGGGGGATCCCGCCGCGCCGTGTCAACGTTGGCGCGGCTTTTAAAATGACCCCTGGCGCCCGCCATGCTGTATCAAAACCCCAACGTCCCTGTAGGCTCAAAAAAGCTTGCTGCAGAACATAGCACCCCTTTCCTCATGGAGACAGTGAGCAGTTTCCCCCTCCATGCCAGGTAGGTTTACCAGAAGGTCTGAAGAAGGGAGTTGGGAAGAACATCCTTTATTTCCAGCATTTGCAGTTGACTATGGGAAAATACAGTACAGACAGGCAAACACTCTTTGCCTACTAGTGAGAGCAGCCGTAACAAGATGGTGCCCAGTCATTCAGCTGAGCTAACCCTTTTTCCCCTACCTTTCATTACAGAGAAATACAAGGATCAACAAGTGACCTTCAAAGGCTGCGCCACCAAGAACATGTGTTCTATCGGAGCTCCTGCGCTGTTTACCACTGGCCGCCAGGTCTACGTCAAGACCATCATGTGCAGTGGGGCCCCGGAGGTCCCTTCTCAGCACAGGCTGGCCCTGTCCGCCCTCGCAGGGTTGTTCTTTCTCGTCTACCAGTCCTGATTCCTTTTCACACATGTCCTCCACTGTTTTGTTCTTTGTGGGCCTTCTTGCTGCCTCACTCACATTTTAGGGGTGACAGGCTCCCTGGAATTACAGCTCATCTCCAGACTCCAGAGATCAGTTCCCCTGGAGAAAATGGATGCTTTGGAGGGTGGACTCTAAGGCACTGTACCCCAGTGAGGTCCCCGTCCTCCCCCAGGCTCCGTCCCCAAATCTCCAGGAGTTTCCCAAATGGGATCTGGCAACCCTTACCTCCCCCCATCCCCTGCCGGTGGCCGGGGAGATCCTAGCAAAAAAATTCACTGCCTCAGATTTGCTGGCCAGTAGAACCGTGAACGTGAGCCAAAGCCCGGCATTGCGTAGTCACAAAATAAATCTTTGAGGCACGAGCCAGTCCACACCATGAGGCCCTAGTGATGCTTCCTTCTTGTCAGTTCTTTTGGTGCTATTAGTCCTGATCTATTTGCCTTACACAAAGTTTTATGTGTAGTTTTGGGGTTAGGCAGGGCTCTTTTTGTAGAAAAAGCCCAGCAGGAGCTCATTAGCATAATAGGCCACACCCAACAGCAGAAACCCATTAGCCTATTAGGCCACACCCCTGACAGCACAGCTCATTAGCACATTAGGCCGCACCCCCATGTTACCAGAAGTGTGCTCATCCAGCCACACCCACCTTTTGCTTGTTATTCTGTTTACCTTGTTTGTTGTCAAAACCCAGGGCCTTCTTTTGGAGCAGGAACTCCTTTGCATGTTAGGCCACACACCCCTAATGTAGCCAATCATAATGCGTTTCTGCTGTTGGGTGTGGCCTGTTATGCTAATGCGTTTCTGCTGGGCGTGGCCAACTTGGGAGCCAGCCGGAACTCCGTTCCTGTGCGTTCCTGCCCAAAAATAGCCCTGGGGTTAGGGATGCCAGCCTCCACGTGGGACCTGGGGGTCCCCTGGAATTACCGCTCATCTCCAGACTACAGGGATCAGTTCTCCTGGAGAACATGGATGCTTTGGAGGGTGGACTCTAAGGCATTGTGCCCCACTGGGGTCCCCCTCCCCCCCTCAGGCTCCGTCCCCAAATCTCTAGGTGTTTCCCAACCTGGATCTGGCACCCCTACCATCCCCCAGTGTTGGCAAGGGGAGTCCTAGTAACCCTTCATATGCCACAGTTCCCCTCTTATAGCAAGTACCAAGTACTCTGCAAGCATTTCCTTCCAATCCAGTTCATTCTTTATGACCCTGTTTATGCTTTCTCTGATGTTATTGGTTGCTGTTACATCATTTCTGAGGGCTACAAATATTTGAGTAAAAAACCTGGCTGCATGTTTTGGTATGCTGTCCTTTGGTTCTTTATCAAAGTATTGTTGGAAAGGCTGGCTCCAAAGGAGGCTGTACTGTTCATACTTGTGTTGATATTCTTCCTGTGATTCTGGATTCAAAAGTAGTGCAGCGTGGTCTTTTAAAACCTTAAGATCATTGTTATTCCCTCCATGTTCTTTAATCCAGATGCTGACATCTCTCACAATATGATTCCTGCAGTAAACATTTGGGATTTGTGCGAAGTTCATTTGCAATATCCCTTTCTCTATCAGTCACAAATGGTATATTCTTCATATTATCTCTACCCAAATTCTGTAACTATTTCAAAAAGGCCCCCCGAAGGGGATTTTTTAAAATACATTTTTCTAAAGGCTACAAATCTACAATGAAAATGAGGGAAGGGAACTACAATTAGGGATAAATAAAAGAAAACCCACTACTATCTAAAATCCCAAGAGAGGAGATCCTCAAAATCTCTTAAGTACAAAGTCAGTTCTAAACTCGCTAACAATTTTTTGAACTTAGTCAGGTCTGCTATTACAACTTTTGAATCTTAAATTAGCTGTTAAAAGGAAAAACCCCAGAGCATCTCGTTACAATCAACCCTTTTCAAAGGCACAATACAGAGTCCTTCAGCCTTCATTTCTTCTTATCCTGTCTTCTTCGCAATTTATAAGGACTTTTAGGATCCGCTGCTCCCTTCTCTGACAGAGAGTCCTCTCCAGAAGACCCCGAGTCCAGCTCGCCACGGGACTTACTGTCCTCTTTATCACCTTTCTCTTGCTCACCGAACTGGATTTTCAAAAAGTCTCGTGCTTTGGAAGCAGAGTCAATCTTTTCCTTTTTATCTTGAAGGTTACGTCCTCTGGATACAGCCACCGATATCTGATTGTGTTTGTTTGAAGAAAAAGGATTAAATCTTTGTATTTCCTTCTTTTTTGTCTCATTTCAAATGGGATGTCTTTAAGGATCCTGATGGTGCTGTCCTTTATCTTGAAGGTTACGTCCTCTGGATACAGCCACCGATATCTGATTGTGTTTGTTTGAAGAAAAAGGATTAAATCTTTGTATTTCCTTCTTTTTTGTCTCATTTCAAATGGGATGTCTTTAAGGATCCTGATGGTACTTGTAATGTATTCAGCCTGACATGCCCGGACTTGCCCGGGCTGGCCAGGCACAACTCTTCAATAGCTTCACGTCCAAAGACAATGGGTCCGTAGGATCCTAGCCGGCCCAATCAAAGGGCCAGCTTCTCAGCCGGGAGACCAATGGTCGCCCGGTTACTGTAAATAGCCTATCGGGAGTAGGGGGTGTGTTTAGGTGTACTTGGTGGCGGGTTTTCTGAACATATATAACCAGCCTGCGAGCTGGTCCCTTCGTCTTTGTCCTGAACTAAATAAAGGTATGCTTAGCTGAAATCGCTCTCCGTCTGCATACTTT